TTGAAATTGACTCATTGATTGAATTTTTTTTTTTTTTTTTTTTGCACACGGCGGTGGAGGCCTAAAGGGAAAAGGTTTTATAAAACCCAGCTGAAAGCCTAGGACTGGGGTGACGGTGCGCGTGCCCAGAGAGAGGGCTCTGAGTGCCGCCTCTGGCACCCTTGCCATAGGTTCGTCACCACTGCAATAGCATATCAACCCTACACAGCTAATGGCCAAGTACAGGTAGATAGAACTGCCTCTTTGTGTATTTGTCATCTCCATGTTCTTTCCTTTGGGCAGCAAGTTTTTGTGGCACCTTAAAAACCTGAACAATCACAATGTTGTTGTTTTTTTTAAATAGAAAATAAACAAGTTTTTTTTTTCCTTCTGAAAAGTGGAAGGAAAGTTTTTGTCACGCTGGATAAAAGCCTTTAGCAATAAAAGGCTATTTCTCTCATAGAAGGACAGTATTATTATGGGTAGTTGTACAATCAATCAGATGTGGAGACAAGATCTGGCATTTTTATCCACCTATCAAGTTCTTTCCAGGCATCTGGAATAGACAGTTGGTATTTGATGGCATTTAAAGGTATTGTTGCACTTTTCCAAAATCATCTTGTCAATTGAGAGCTGATCTTTTGTTCTCTGCTATTTAAATGTATTTGCTACCCAGCTGCAGCGGACTCAGTAATCTGCTATAGGATCTTCAATGAATGAATCAATCAATCGGAATAGAACGGGAAGGGACCTTGGAGGTCTTCTAGTCCAACCCTCTGCTCAAGCAGGAGACCCTGTAACATTTTAAACAAGTGACTGTCCAGCCTCTTCTTAAAAACTCAAGTTATGAAGCACCCAAAACGTCTGGAGGCAAGCTGTTCCACTGGTTAATTGTCCTCACTGTTAGGAAGTTTCTCCTTAATTCCAGGTTGCTTCTCCCCTGGATTAGTTTGCATCCATTGTTTCTTGTCTTGTCTTCTGGTGCTTTCTAAAATAAGTTGATCCCCTCCTCTTGGAGGCAACCTCTCAAATAATGGAATACTGCTATCATGTCCCCCCCCCCAGTCCTTCTTTTCTCTAGACTAGAATAGAATAGAATAGAGCTGGAAGGGATCTTGGAGGTCTTCTAGTCCAGCCCCCTGCTCAAGCAGGAGAGCCTATACCATCTCAGACAAGTGACTGTCTAGCCTCTTTTTAAAAATCTCCAGTGATGGAGCGCCCACAATTTCTGGAGGCCAGCTGTTCCACTGGTTAATTGTCCTCACTGTTAGGAAGTTTCTCCTTAATTCCAGGTTGCTTCTCTCTTATTTTCCAACCATTGTTTCTCATCTTTCCCTCTGGTGCTCTGGTGAATAATGTGACCCCCTCCTCTTCTTTGTGGCAGCCCCTCAGATACTAGATTACTGATCCTGTCTGGCATTATTATTATATATGTAAACTCCCTTCTGAAGACTGCTTTGCAAAAGCTGATTATTGCTATTATTATTGCTATTATTCTTTCTCTTCTTACTGTGATTAGGTTTCTCCCTGGATACCTTATTATAAATGAACACAGCTTATGAGTCATCCTTGTCCTTTATTTCAGAGTCAGCTCATTTTAGTCTTGAAACTGACTTCATTGATTTCTGAACTACCAGTGCTCAGTATGAGAAAGAGAAAAAATAATTTCTCCAGGATAGTATTTCATAAGCATAATAGAGAAAGGGGTTAATGAAAAAAAAGAAAAAGCAGGGAATTCTATATCTCAGTAAGACCCCCCCCCAACCTTCTGAAAAGCACTGAAAACAATGCAGTCTATGCTTCAAATTATTTGAAGACTACGTCTGATTTACGCAAGGAGATTTTTTTTTTAAATTCTCCCTTCTCCTTCCGCCATTATTTCAATCACGGATGTTTTGTTTTGCTTCATTTTTGTTCTTAATGTTTTTTTTCCCCCATTTCAGGGTGATGAACGGATTGAATGAAAGAGATCCTTAGGGGGAAATTTGGGGAGCATTTTAATCTATTCCAGATTAAACAGATGCAACACTGGAATAAAAGTGCCTCACAGTCAGATTGCTAAGAAGGTGTGCACTGTTTGCTGTGTGGTCGTTTTGCGAATAGGAGACGCAGCGGCTCAGTGGTTAAAGATGCTGAGCTCATCAGCTGGGAAAACTGACAGCGTGGGTTCAAGACACGAGCGCCACACAATGGGGTGAAATCCCTTCCTTGCCCCAACACCTGCCCACCTAGCAATTTGAAAGCATGCAAATGTGAGTAGATAAACAGGTACCACTTCAGTGGAAAGATAACAGCATTCCGTGCCCCTCGGCATGCAGTTATGCTGGCCATATGGCCATGAAAATGTCTTTGGACAATGCTGGCTTCCTCAGCTAAGAAACAGAGATGACCAATGTGCAGTGGTGGGATTCAAATATGTGAACAACCGGTTCTCTGTGTGGATGCCACTTCTGGAAGTCCATTCTGGGCCTGGGCAACAAAAAATTAGCTACCGGTTCTGTCAAACTGGTGCGAACTGGCTGAATCCCACTGCTGTGAGTCTGTGCCAGCCATTGGACCTGGCAGCTGAGTCTGGGGAATCAAAGGAGGAAGAGGGGCCTGGAGAGCCATCAGAGTCAGAGGAAGACTCTGATGAGCTCTAGGACTTACAATCTGATGAAGAGCCTGGCCCTTCCAATTGTGCTCAGACTGAGACTCAGCTGTGCGGGGAAGCTGAGTCAGACTGAGGACTCACAGCTGGAAGACATTATAGATGCTCGCAAATGCAGACAGGCAACAAGAGCAGGACAGAGGGAGGCAATGGGGCCACTCCAAGGGAGGAGGAGAAGGCATTGAGAAGACACGCCTTGGGGCTGCATCATAAAAAGGGAAGGAGTAGGCGGTGCTGGTGGCTGAAGGCAACCACTTGAAAAGGACTCAAGTTTCATGGAATCAGATTCTGTTTGCCTTGCCTGTGAACAATTCTCCATTTGAATTGTGTTCTGTTTGCCTTGGGACAATTCTTCGTTTGAATCGTGTTCTGTTTGTCTTGGCACAATTCTTCATTTGAATCATGTTTTGTTTGCCTTTGAACAATTTTCCGTTTGCATCGTGTTTTGTTTGCCTTTGCTTTTGGGACATTTTGCAAGTCTGTACCTAATTAATAATAGGGGTTTCTTTTTCCTGCATTTCCAGCCTACTTGTTAAAACAGGGATTTGTCCTTGTGAGTTACCAAGGACTCACATAAGCTGGGACAGAACACCCACCACTGGCAACGATCCCTAGAGTCAGACATGCCTGGATGAGGAAACCTTTACCTTTAGTTTAGTTTTGTGAATATAAGTGACACAGTGGGTTTCCTATTTCTATGTCTCTTTCTGTATGGAGATGTGGCGAGTTTGCTAGATTTAGTTCAGGTTTCTCTGCCATCCCTTGTTATCTAGACTTAGAGACAGACAACTGAATTTGTAAGTTGAATTCATGGCAAAGCCTTCTATCTGATCCTAAATGAGTAGACCAACTTTGGCCAATCCAAAGAAAGCAAAAGACGGGAGCAACCATACATTAGCTGGCACTTCATCTCCAATTCATGAGCTGACTTCAAAGTGGGTGATTCAGGCCACTAAACAGATAGAAATTTTAAATGTTCACATTTGCTAAAAGAACTTCCTTCCTCTCCATTCACCCAGAAGATGCAAACAGCAATTCATTGTACATCCAAATAATCTAATTATATCAGCTCTGCTGGGTCCAGTCCAACATTGCTCCAATGTTAGAGCAGGGAATAAAGATATTGATTATCTTACTTTTAAATTCTGATGATGATCTCAGAGTCAAGGATTTAATAATAATAATCAGTTGGAAGGGACTTTGGAGGTCATCTAGTCCAACCCCCTGCTCAGGCAGGAAACCCTATACCATTTCAGACAAATGGCTGTCCAGTCTCTTCTTAAACACTTCCAGTGTTGGAACATTCACCGCTTCTGGAGGCAGGTTGTTCCACTGGTTAATTGTTCTAACTGTCAGGAAGTTTATCCTTAGTTCTAGGTTGCTTCTCTTCTTGATTAGTTTCTATCCATTGCTTCTTGTCCTGCCTTAAGGCACTTTGGAGAATAGCTTGACTCCCTCTTCTTTGTGGCAGCCCCTGAGATATTGGAACACTGCTATCATGTCCCCCCTCGTCCTTCTCTTCATTAAACTAGAGATACCCAATTCCAGCAGCTTTTCCTTATATGCTTTAGCCTCCAGTTCGCTAATCATCTTTGTTGCTCTTCTCTGTACTCTTTCTAGAGGATTTGGAGAAGGATGGTCTGATGATAGATAGATAGATAGATAGATAGATAGATAGATAGATAGATAGATAGATAGAAGGACAGATAAATGATAGATGACACAGGTAGGTAGGTAGGTAGGTAGGTAGGTAGATAGATAGATAGATAGATAGATAGATAGATAGATAGATAGATAGATAGATAGATAGATAGATAGATAGATAGATAGATAGATAGATGATGGATGGGATAAATGATAGATGACACTGATAGATAGTAAGATGATAGATAGATGATAAATGATATAGATAGATAGATAGATAGATAGATAGATAGATAGATAGATAGATAGATAGATAGATAGATTTAACAATGTATATGGCCATCCAACTCATACTGACTCCAGGTGGCTTATAAAAATAAGACCTCAATGCAAAAATCAATAAACCCTTTCCCCCCATCGCAACAACAGTCAAACCAATCTTTTGATGAACTCCATATTACTCTGGGGTCCCCAGGCCCACTGGCAAAACTATGTCTTTGGGGCTTTTCAAAAGAGTGTCAAAGTGTGCACCAATCTTATTTCTACAAGAGTGATGATGTTCCACAGGGAGGGAACCGCCACCAAAAAGACTTACTATACTATGATTTGGTATAATCTGACATTCAACAACCAGCACTTGATAGATTTTCAGGGAAGTCCATCTTGCAATCCTAACATTTTCCGATCTCTTGATACTACATCTTTTCCTTTACTACTTATTTTTCAGGTGATGACCAACCAACATCATGTCGGAGGTCCAGGGAACTGTCAACTTTTCTGTGGAGCTGCACAAATTCCATAATGTCGATCTCTTCCAAAGAGGGTGAGTCAATTTCTTCATGCAAAGGTCATGAATACAAAATTCTAGAAAGCCTTTCCAGAAAATCAAACATAGATGCAGTCTTATCCAGAGCAAAAGTCATTGGCTATGAAATCGCAGGCTTGATAAGGTGATCAAAGCCCAGCCCTTTATTATATTTCATGCATTGTACACCTGGGAAAAGGGACAGAATTTTGAAGCAATTTTGGACCAGTGGAGGAAAATGAAGGAAGAAGCTATTTTGGATCAGAATACAGAAAACAGAGTTGGAATGGACCTTGTAGATCATCCAGTCAAGGGGTAGGCAGCCTTGGTTCTTTTATGACTTGTGGACTTCAATACCCAGAATTCCTGAACCAGCCATGCTGAGGGGAAAGGGAGAGGTTTCCAAGCTGAGTCATGCTGGCTCAGGAATTCTGGGAGTTGAAGTCCACAAGTCATAAAAGAGCCAAGGTTGCCTACCTCTGGTCTAGGGAAAGGCCAGCTATTAGAAATGCAAATTCAATAATCCTTTCAGAAAGTTGGAGGCCTAGGCCGCTTTATGACTTGTGGACTTCAGCTCCCAGAATTCCTGAGCCAGCATGGCTCAGCTTGGAAACCTCTCCTTTTTCCCTCAGCATGGCTGGCTCAGGAATTCTGGGAGCTGAAGTCCACAAGTCATAAAAGAGCCAAGATTGCCTACCTCTGGCCTAGGCCTAGGCTGCTGTCTGACTCATGGATTTCAATTCTCAGAATTCCTGAGCCAGCATGGGGCAACTATGGCCCCTTCATGACTCATGGACTTCAACTCCCAGAATTCCTGAACCAGCATGGCTCAGCTTGGAAACCTCTCCCTTTCCCCTCAGCATGGCTGGCTCAGGAATTCTGGGAGCTGAAGGCCACAAGTCATAAAAGAGCCAAGGTTGCCTACCCCTGATCTAGTCCAACCTCCTACTCAAGCAGGAGACCTTATATCATTTCAGACAATTTTGAAGCAATTTTGGACCAGTGGAGGAAAATAAAGGAAGAAGCAATTTTGGATCAGAATACAGGAAAATGGAGGAAGAAGGCGGGGATGCAAACCTAATAACTAAACAAACAAAAATAGCTCAGGAATGACTAAGTATTATAGTCAAAACTATGATTTTCCCAATAATAATGAATGGCTGTGAAAGTTGGACCATAACAAAGGCTGAATGCCAAAGAAGTGATGCTTTTGAATTGTGGTTCTGGAGAAGACTCCTAAGAGTCCCTTGGACTGGAAGGAGATCCAATCAGTCAATCCTAAAGTCAGTCCCAACATAGAGAAAAGTAAAGTGTTACACTTGGGCAAGAAAAATCCAAGGTATGAATACAGATTAGGTGAAACCTGCCTTAATGGCAGTAACTGTGAGAGGGATCTTGGAGTCCTAGTGGACAATTCAAATCAACCCTGCCTTTAAACTGTCCTTCTAAAACACACACACAATAAAATTAGCATGTCAGAAGTAAATCTTCATCCTGGTTCATCTAAGCCAGGGATAAATAAGCAACATGGCGACTGCTTTGGGAAGAAGGTTACAGTTTATTGAAGAAGCAGAAAGATGGTCCTTGCAGGAAGGAGCAGAGGAGAGGAAAGAGCAGTTGAGCACATGAGCAGTAAATTTTTTTATACCCCCTCTAGCCTTGTTTGGAATAGTTTCCTGTTCCTGTGGCATGAACTTTGAGGCTATTTCTGAGTGTTTTTTTAGGCCTTGATATCTGTGGTTTAATCCTATTATCATATCCTGCTTCCCAGGTGATGGGGCTAATGACTCCTAGAGTTTGGGTGGGGCATGCAGATCTTCTCTTTGTCTTCTTGAGTGCTCTGGCTTCAACTTCTGATGGTTTTACATCTGCATTTGTATGGGGCTAGCTCTTGCTTGGAGCAGAGAGATAGATTTGGGGCCAGCTTTGGTTTGAAAAAACTCCTTTTGAGGAAAAATATATTTTTCTGCCCTTTTAATATTTCCTTCTCTGGGCTAACTTCCCTCAAGCCAAATAAAAATCTCTGCTAGCCATACTGGTGATGTCACCTTCTCCTTTCAGCTAGTCATGGGAATCACTGCCTTTGATGAAGGAAAACTGCCCACTGCTGACTTTGGATTAAGAGCTACAGTATAAAAGTGTTAGAATACATTTCAATCCATATGCAAAGACGTGCTGTCCTTACTTCATTTCTGCATAGCACTGGCATTTCAAACATCTCTGCCAGAGAGTTAACTTTCTAGCTGTGCTAGAAAGCCTTGCTGCTGCAGCACATTCAACCATCACATGAAGGACAGATACCGAAGCTGAAACTCAAATACTTTAGCTACCTAATGAGAGACTCCTTGGAAAAGATCCTGACATTAGGAAAGATGGAAAGCTTAGGCTTTCATACCTAAGGTGGCACTAGAATCCATGGTCTCCTGGTAATTGTCCCAAAGTCAGTTAGCCTATGTAGGATTCAAACATGCTTTCCCAGTTTCTACTAGAAAACAACTGGCTCATATATTCAGACATTCTATTGTTCTAAATGTTCTATTCACTCAGTTTTAATTAGCTGCCATATGTAATTTCCAAACACTAAACAGCCCTCTTTCAGCTTGTTTGTCAATAGTAGGTACGCTGGCTAAGGAATTCTGGGAGTTGAAGTCTACAAGTCATAAAAGGGCCAAGTTTGAAGACCCCTGGTCAATAGCCATCACAGAATTTGGAAGCTACTGAGAGTAATAGTGCTTGGTGACTCTGAATCCGGGTTTATTTATTTATGAGACTTATATACCGCTTTAAGTGCAAGCACTCTCTAATCGGTGTACACCAGTAAGCAATGTATATATATATTTACATTGCCCCCAACAATCTGGGTCCTCATTTTACCTACCCCGGAAGGATGGAAGGCTGAGTCAACCTTGAGCCGGTGAGATTTGAACCGCTGACCTGCTGAACACAGTCAGCTAAAGTGGCCTGCAGTACTGCACTCTAACTGCTGCACCACCTCGCCACCTCAGGTTGCATGATGGATCAGATAAAGTATGAACCTAGACAACACTCTAAGGTTTTGTTGTGATTCTATGGTCCAAGGAAGCCAAGGCTATAATGAAAGTTTAGAATATTCAACCTTGTATATGTCTAACCAGAACTAAACCAGTCTGGATTTAGTAAACTTATTCTTAATATAGGGCAGTGGTGGCGAACCTATGGCACGGGTGCCAGAGGTGGCACCCAGAGCCCTCTCTGTGGGCACGCGTGCCATCACCCCATCCTAGGCCTTCAGCTGGGTTTTATAAAACCTTTTCCCTTTAGGTCTCTGCTGCCATGTACAAAAAAAAAGGTTCAATCAATCAGTCAATTTCAACTTCTCGCGGGAAAAAAAAAAGATCTTGCAAAGTTGGAATTGATTGATTGAACTTTTTAGTCCCATCTAGTCTGCCGTTACCACTGCAGCCATGCCCACCCAATGGGCCACACCCACCCAACTGGCCACACCCAGTCAATGGGCCACACCCACCCAGCACCTGACAATGCATAAGTGGGTTTGGGGTTGCAGTTTGGGCACTCAAAGGTTCGCCATCACTGATATAGGGCAAAGACATAAATCAAGGAGTCTACTAGATTATATCAAATAATAAATAGCAAAAACATAGTAAAACTTTCTATGCTGCTTAGAGGATGTTTGGGAATAAATCAATAAATAATTTGTGTATTCCATCAGCAGAGTGAAACTGTGGAACATGTTGAGTGGAGAGCAAGCAAATGAAAATTTATTGTCTCTTAAAAAGAAAGCATGAAGCGATTTATTGAGTTCTGAAGGACAAGCATATATAACATACCGGGAACAAAAAAAAAATATGAAGATTCTTCACATCTAAATTCGCTCCATCAAATCTCATTTTATAGAGGTTTTCCAAATCACTTTAAAGCTTCTGACAATCTTTACTGAGCTGAAAAATAAAGCTACCCATATCTGCCTGAGTTCAATTTATAATTATTTTATCTGCTCAGCTCTTATAAATCTTCATTCTATTCTACCCTATTCCAAGGTCATTTAGTATATGCAAGAGAATTTGTTGACAAATTGTGAGCTACTAAATTGAAATAAATATGAATTAAGAAGATTTTGATATATTTGCAGAAAGAAATGCATAGATTCTCAAACTCTGCAGAGTAAACATTAGATTTCGATTTATAAATAGTTTGGTTTAATTGAATCTAATCAGAAATAATGAAATGAGAACACAGGGAGCTCATACTTTCAAAATATTTCTATATAATGGAGAACCCTCTCTTTTGTGGGTAGTGATCCCTGTTTCTAAGAACTCAGTAATTTAACCCCAAACTTTTATTTTAGGGAATAGGTTATTAATATTTTGTTAACTTTGGTTGAATATATAATCCTCAGTCTATGACTCCAATTGGGATCAGAATTTTCATTGCTAAGCAAGGCAGCTGTTCAGAGAGTCATGCTTGTTAAGTAAATTAATCGAATCAAATCGAACCGAACAGAACAGAACCAAACAAAACAGAACAGAATAATAAAGTGTTAAGGGACCTTGGAGGTCTTCTAGTCCAACCCCCTGCTCAGGCAGGAAACCTTATACCATTTCAGACAAATGGCTGTCCAGTCTCTTCTTAAAAACCTCCAGTGTTGGAGCAAAGGCAGTTCCAGCTGGAGCATTCACCGCTTCTGGAGGCAGGCATTGTTCTGGAGGCACTGGTTAATTGTTCTGTCAGGAAGTTTCTCCTTAGTTCTAGGTTGCTTCTCTCCTTGATTAGTTTCCATCTGTTGCTTCTTGTCCTGCCTTCAGGCGCTTTGGAGAATAGCTTGACTCCCTCTTCTTTGGGGCAGCCCTTGAGATATTGGAATGCTGCTATCATGTTCCCCCCTCGTCCTTCTCTTCATTAAACTAGACATACCCAAATCAAGCAACCATTCTTTGTATGTTTTAGCCTCCAGTCCCCTGATCATCTTTGTTACTCTTCTATGCACTCTTTCTAGAGCTTCAACCTCTTTTTTACATCGT